GGCATAGCAACAGAATGAAAGTGAATGTTGATTACAGACACTACTTGAAATAAAGAGCCCTTTTCCAAAGTTACCCTTTAAAAAATAAGATTCAGTTCTATCTCCTTATGCTTTTTAGTACATTGCCTTATTCATTTTTAATATCTAACAACCAATTTATTTTTATTTACAACGAGCTCTGATTTTTAGAATACACACACAAGGGGTGAGTGAGGAGTTTGGTAGCCAGGGGAAAGCACAAGGAAAGAGCACAGACCTGCAGTCATGTTTCAGGATAATTCAGCATGAGATGAAATTCTAACTTAAATAATCAAGGGGCAACAAAATAGACTGAAAGATTTGGGTCCAGGCCCGGAGAGAGTGGGGAAAGATGGTGAGAGGAGAGAGGCTTCAACAAGGAAGATCATGCAAGGTTAACAGGCAAAACATTCCCCGATTTCTGTTTCTCTTATTTTCTTAAGCAAAGAGTATTCGTCATGTTAGAAAGGAGAGAAAAACAATTTAAGAAGGAACCTGTGCTTAAGAGAAGAAGAGAATAGGGAACACAGCAGACGCTCCTCTATGTGTCATCTCAGAGCTGCTGCTGGGAAGCTCTGAGACAATGCGGAGAAAGGGACTAGAGCTCGGCGCTCTGGAGATTGTTTTAATTTCTTTTTTTTTTGTTTTTTGAGGAGTCAGAAAATGTATTTGAAATTTAGTTCAGTTACATCAGGCAGAAATGATTTCATCATTATGAGGCTTATTTTTTCAAGAGGAGCATCTTATTTATTTTTTTTATTAAGTCATATACACATAGATCATGAATACATGTATGCTTATGTGGGATACAATGTGTTCATTTTTTTATATACAATCCGACATGCTTACATCAAACCAATCAACAGAGCTTTCGCCTCATTTACTTGATTATTGTGTTAAGACTTTTATGTTCTACACTTGACACATTTGACCTGTACCTTGCAATATGCTCCATAGGTGTGGTCCTGCCTTTTACCCTCCCTCTATTAGACCTCCCCCCTCCCCTAACTTTATAAAGGAGGAAGGCTCAAATCTTGGAAGTTGAAAAGTACTGAGTTTAGTATCAGTTTCAGCCATCAGCTACCAAAAGAGAAAAAAATAGTATGGACACTAATACAAAATTAGGTAATCGGTAAGCGCCAACTTGGCTTCATGGAGAGTGAGTGTGGAAGAACTCATTCGTGAGAGAGGTGATGCCTGGAAGGGCGTAGGGCTGGATGTGGTTTCTATCACTGCCAGTCTACACTAGTACTATGGTCTTGCCTGGCCCGCCGAGTTTTCCCTCCCAGCCACCTACACCTTCTGACTTCTTGCTCTGTGTGCCTGTCTTGCATTTCTAGTTTGTTATTTTTAAGCGTCATCTTGGCACTACATTTCTATCTGCCCATCTCTGACATTGCTGTTCCTATGCTGACTGTTTATAGGGCCCTGCACCTTCTCCTCGGTGTCCTGGCTGCTCTCATTTCTTCCCTCCGGCTCTATGCTGTAGGTATCTTTGTTTGTTACCATATTGCACCTGCATGTGCTTCAGGTAACTACCTGGTCTTCTGTGAAAGATGTTTGTATTTGAGCTGTCACTGACATCAGTCCTTTTACTTATGTCTTAGGGGAATGCGAGACTACAGATTCTAAAAACAAACTAATTTTTAACTTTGTTTCTTGTTTTACTCAGAATTAAAATAAGTCAAAGTCGTTTTTCTCAAGCTCAAGTGATGCAAAAGAACACTTATAAAGAAAAAAAATCCCAAAAACATCTGAAGTTGAGTAAAATGACTTGTAAGATAACATTTCCTAAATATGTCTAGATATGAACTGAGAACCAGAAGCTCTGTACAACCAGAAGTCCTAAAGAAAAGATGATAAAGGAAAGTACAAAACCAAAAGATTCAGATTCACAGTATGAATTTACTATGGCAGATTCTGTCACGTTACTGACACTAAACAATTGCCAGGGATCCAGACAGGGCCCTCAAGTGTTGCCCCAGGTCCTTCTCATCTCAGGCTGCCTGGGACCGGGCTGTGGGCTGCCTCGCTTCCCCCACACTCCCCAGCCCTCTTTTCCCCTAAGACCATGGGACCCCCTGCCCTTCCCCAGCCCTTTTTTCCCCTAAGACTGTGGGACCCCCTGCCCTTCCCCAGCCCTTTTTTCCCCTAAGACCGTGGGACCCCCTGCCCTTCCCCAGCCCTTTTTTCCCCTAAGACCATGGGACCCTCTGCCCTTCCCCAGCCCTCTCCCCCCCTGAGACCGTGGGACCCCCTGCCCTTCCCCAGCCCTCTCTCCCCCTAAGACTGTGGGACCTGCTGCCAACCCACTGGGAACAGATCTCTTACAATCCATCTGCTGCTATTCTTTTCTCATTCACTCCAGAAAACTAAAATATAAGGACTTGCTCCCAAAGAAATCTAAAGCCCTAGAATTGACGTGAGGCTGAATCTGCACAGCAGTGTGTGGTTGAATTGTAGCCAAATGATCCAGAATATATCTTTATTAATTGTTGAGCTAATCACCAGAATAGCAACCCCAAAATGAACAGCCTCTCCAAATAAAAACTATAGCCTCCATGTCTCTGTGGCCTCCAGGTGAAGAAACACTCGGCTCAAGTGTTTTCTCATTCCAGGAGTCCAGCTTTCCCTCTCGGTGGTATCAGACAGATGTACATACAACTCAGATTTTCATTTATTTTCTTGGACCGTTGTCAGGTTGTGACATCACTGGTTTATATTTTTGTTAAATTTCGATAATCTTTCGAACTACCTCAGTAAACATTTATAAGCCACTTTCTCAAAGTACAAATTGTTATATAATAAAGACTGAAACTAAGTTCCGTCATTTTACCACAGAATTTCAGAATTACAGCTGTCCAGGGCACTAGTCAAGATACTCCAGAGAATCAACACCAGTAAGATAGATGCAGATGCATGAAGGGGGAGGTTTATCAGGGAACGGGCTCGCATGTTATGAGGCCAGGAAGTCCTACAGCCCACTATCTGCAAGCTGGAGAGCCGGGAGCGGCAGTGTCACCCTCTGTGACTCGGAGCGCCTGAGTGCCAGGAGATCTACTGTCCGAGGGCACCTATCTCTCAGCTCAGAACAGAAGGAGAACTTACCGTTCACTACCTTTTTGTTCTGTTCTGGCTCTCAAGGCCCTCAGGGGCCTGGAGGAGGCATCCTGCATTGGGAAGGGAGACGCTCTTCACTCAGTCTGCTGATTCAGATGCTGGTCTCTTCCAGAAACGCCCTCACAGATACACCTAGACACATTTTACCAGCTATCTGAGCATTCCTTAGGCCAATCAAGTTGACACATTGAAATTAATTATCACACCCAGCCAAATTCCTCTCTAAAACATCCTGCATAAGTATTCACTTATCTTCCTTTTTAAATGTCCCCAGGTACTAGGTTATAAGGCAATTTACTCTGTTTTTCTGCTGGTCTAAATCCTACCTTCTAGATCAATGCAAGAATCTAATTTACCTTGCAAAAGGTAATACCTTCACCCACATGAAGATAAGTTTTATCATTCCCCAGCAAACGCTGTTGTCCTCTGGCCACTCGTACCACACAGCGCTGAGCAACATGAGAAGTGGCTCCATAATTTCTTTGTATGTTCTGCGTACAATCCAACTGCCTCAACAGGTTATGTAATCCACTGGTCTTATCTCAAAGAAACAAATTCTTGTATCAATTTTCTCTCCAGAGTGATTATTATAAATGATTACAACCTCATTCTGTGGAATAGTTCTATTGAAAATACTGGGATAGGACACATTTTAAATAATTCTATGCATGCACTGGCCTAAATTTATTTACATGTATATACATGTATATCCCTTGAACAAGGTGGGGATTGGAGACACTGACATTCTGTGCCGCCAAAAATCCACACATAACTTTTAACTCTCCCCAACTTAACAACTACTGATAACCTGCTATTGACCATAAGCCTTACTGATAACATTAACAGTTAAGAAATACATATTTTGTACATTATATGTGTTATATTTGTATTCTTATACTAAAGGAAGCTAGACAAAAGAAAATATCCTTAAGAAAATCCTAAGAAAGAGAAAATATATTTACTAAGTAGGACTGGATCACCATAAGGTCTTCATCTTCTGCTTCACACTGAGTGGACACAGGACGGGAGGAAGGGAGGGTGGTATTACAGTTATCTATGTTATTACATACAAGTATATATTTACATATGCGTTTAGGCCAGTGTTTAAATAAATTATATACATATAATTTATTTGTTTACTCATTAAATATTGAGTATATATTATTTAAATAAATTATATATACATATAATTTGTTTACTTATTTCGTTTTAATTTCATTTACTACTGGCTGATTGAGTAGAGCTGGAATGTGGTGAACACCAGGACTGCCACAATCCTTTCCCCAGTTCTGTAAAATGCCCTTTCCAAACTCAAATGCAGAGTCTTACGGGTCTTGACAAAGCCTGTTTGTAAACCCAAGCAAGGTACTAAGCTATGTCTCTTGAAGACAGGAAGTCCAGCTGCCCTATCTCCATTCTGTACTCAGTGAGCAGAACCCAGGCTTGAGGGTGAAGAAACAGGACATGATAGATAACCAAGACCCTGTGGTCACCATCTCTCCCAATCTGGCCCCACAAAGGCCTGGTCCACATCGGTGACAAGTGGTACGCTGAGCACATGTCTAAGGACCAGATGCGATATCCTAAGACCCTGCAAAGCCAGATCCCAGTCAAGAGGGGAGAAAAGGCCTGACCAGGGTCACATGCAGATCTTTCCTGAGATGTGATGGTTGGAGGCTGCAGTGGCCGCAGCTCCTTGGACAGTTTGACCTTTCTGTGGTTGGCTAGACGTGTGTTTTTCAGGTACACATTTGTGTCCTGTCAAACGACAACATTGATTGTTGGTGTCACAACTGTGGGTAAGAACATACTACCATGCAGAATGAGAATGACGTTTTGTGATTAATTTTTCTTTCCAACAGCTGGCTGTCCCAACTCCTTGATTAAAGAGCTTCATCACTTCAGGATTCTGGGAGAAGAGCAGGTGAGTTAGCATCTCGAAGGCTGCTAATGAGACAGTGTGGGCTCTCCCTAGGGAGGCTGAGGGAGTCTCCTGACCCTCAGCGCCCTGACGTGGGGAAGAAACCCACACGGAGATATGTGTGAGGACACTGTTTCCGCTCCTATCCATCAGACCTGACAGGCTATTAATTGGTACATCTGCCATCTGCCAGTGGATTTCATCTCAAGACTTGAGCAGGAAGCAGGCTCTGCACAGTGGCAGATGAGCAGACAAATAACCGCCGGGAAGAATTATGCCCGAGGGGTCGGTGGGCACAGACATCCCTGATTTGCTGTCTGTGGGTGGATCTGAAGCTCTTTTCACCAAATTTTTGTGCTTTGCATGCTGTCTGTACTTCACGACAGACACTTTCTATACGGATGTGAGCGTGAGACTTATACACAAAGGATGGCCATTTAAAGTACACTAGTTAATGATCTGTTGTGCTCAGTGGGGCGTGACGTATTCTAATAGATGTGCTAGTAAATCATCCAGGTTGCTAAATGCACACATATATACACACACATGCACACACACACAAATATACTTCTGCCTGCTTAAAAATAACATCTCTTCAGCCTCATATGGAATTAGAGACTTTATGTTAGGATGTTAAATCTATATGACAAATTATCCTTAAGGTAATTACACTAAATAGTTAGCAACTGTTGACCTAACTAACACTCTTTCTTTGATTTTTACCACCGAAGATTGTCTCTGCCGACTCTGGCTGCACAGTGGGCGGATGGAGACCTGGTGGCTCTGCTTTGTCAAGGCGTCCTTGGTCTGTGTTTTAGTTTGGCGTGTACGTGGAAAACTGCAACCGCCAGTGTCCAATATGAGATTAGAAACAGAAAGAGGTTACTAGGAGAGGACAGGAAACTGGAATCACATCTACATCCTTGAATTAGCAAGTTACAGTAGGACTCCTTCATTTTTGTTTATGGTTTGCAGAGTAGCAGGCAGAAATGTTTATTCAAATAAAGGCAAAATCAACTGTCCCTGCATTTCAGGTGAAAGTTGATAAGTGACTTTCCCAAACATACCTGTGTCTCACAGCTATTCTCCAGTGAAAGTCTAGAAGACTCCTTAAAGCAAGAATTACTGATTGTTAACCTGACATTTCTGCTCAGATAATGGAGCCTTCTCTTTGAACTTGAAACAATATTTGCAAATTGTTTCCATATTTGTTTTAGAGTCACTATGTAATTTGTAGGGAAAGAAACCAACAGTAATCATCTCCTTATATTTGCATAAAAGTCGGGCCACTTTGCATATTTCTGCAGATTTAATTGTGCTATAATCAAAATTAATATTACCCTGATTAGTTATGACAATACAGTGTACCACAGCAACATTGATCTTGATTTCTTTTCTTTCTTTTTTCTTTTTTTTTTTTTTTTTT